GAGAAATTCTTATGTGAATTTTTAAAGATGTTCCTTGAATATTTTTGTTTTTTCATAAAACACTGTACTATAATTTTAAAGTTGGAAGAGGACATTACACATTACAAAGAAGAAAAAAATTACACGCTAAACATTTAAGATCCTAATCATGCATTTTATCTACTCCTCACAGCTCCCCGGGTAGCTTATTTTTTCTATTTATGAAGGTATTGGAACACATATGCATAGTTGCTCTATTTTATGTGACTGCCTGTTTCTACAGTAAAGCTATTGGATTGCTAACAAAGATTTTACTGACTAACTTATATAAATAGCTTCTGTTCATGTATATGCAATACCTGTATGTTTTAATTAAATTTCTAAATTATGAGAACACTTATTAAATAAATTTATTCTAAAATATATGAAAACACATAGGTAGAAACAATCATACATACCTTGTGACCCTAAACTGATTATTATTAATAGGTTGTATGTTTCAGTCAGCTTAAGGAACAAGAATTAGTTATCTTTCAAATATTTTTAAAGCATATCATATGCATATACTTACAAATAATTCAAACCATATAGAAAAGCACAAAAAAGGGTGTTTTTAAAACCCCCTCAACTTAGAAGTAAAATTATTTAGCAATATTTTGTGCATCTCCATAAATTAGATGAATGAATACACAGTACTTTAGATAACATCATAGCCTAGAGTTTTTGGTAGTTACGATTTATTTGAATTTAATAGGAAAAAGGAAACAAAATTGAATAAGCTATGAAACTTAAAATATTCCATTACTGTGAGATTTTTCCCTTCAAATATATCAGTTTTGTCTTAAAGTACTTTGGGCTTTGTTGTTAGATGCATGATTTTCATTGTCATGTCTTCATGATGACAAACATTGTAAGATATCTTTTTTTGGTGTTTTTAGTAAGAGTTTTGATTATAAAGTTTGTTTTGTCTGATTGTAGTGTAGCCATTCTAGTTTTAATCTATCTTTGTAACTTATTACTTTCAACCTATTTGTGTCTTTAAAACTAAAACCTGTTTCTTAAAGGCAGCGTATAGTTGGATCATGTTTTTTTGTTTTTTGTTTTTTTTGTTAAGATTTATTTATTTATGCTTACAGAACTGGGGTACAGGCCAGAGATGCAGGGACAGTGAGAGGATTCACCAGAGACAGAGTGGGGAGCAGAACAGGCCCACTAATGAAGCACACTGCTGAGGGGAGCAGTGGGTGGGTCAGGAGAGGATCATCTTGGGGCTGGAACCGAACTCATGCTGAAGTGGCTTTAGCTTGTTTAGTGCTGTACTTTAGCCCCTATGTCACCGGGGAGGGTCCTTGATCATGTTTTTTAATCCAGCTCCTAGTCTTTGCTTTTTTAGAGTAAGCTTCAATGCATTTACATGTAATTTAATTACTAACAAAGTATGATTTATTATGTCTGCCATTTTGCCCTTTGTACTTGTATGTCTTTAAGTGTTCTCTTAGTTCCTTCATTACTCTGTTATGTTAGTGTGTCCACAGATCTGAAAGAGTTCTTTTTTTTAGTGGTGACCTGAGAGTTGCAGTAAAAATCGTCAATTTATAATGATATAATTCAGATTACACCAGCTTTCAACAGTATACAGAAGTTTTGTTCCTTTTATAGCCCTGTTTTCCTTAATGCTATTATTGTTGCAAATTACATCTTTTTATATTTTGTGTCTTTTGTAATTATTGCTTTATGCAGGTGTCTAGTAAATCAAATAAGAAAAAGAAAAGATTTACAAACAGAAGTACTTTCATATTGTATATTTACCTATGAATTTGAGTTATTGTCTAACATCGCTTTATTTTAGCCTGAAGAATATCCTTTAATATTTTTTGTAGAACAGGTTTGGTAGTAAAGAAATTTTGTTTATTGGAAATGTCTTACTCCCTCCTTCATTACTGAAAATTTGATTTAATATAGAATTCTTAGTCTACTTCCTTCAGTCTTTGATATGTCATCTCATGTCTTCTGACCTCCATGTTTTCTGATAAGAAATGAGCTATTAGAAACCATAAAATACCTGGAAGCAAAGATGGGCCAAACACTACACCACCTGCACTTCAGCCGCATCTTTAAAGATACAACATCCAATGCAAAGATAGGGAAGGCAAGGATAAATAGATGGGACTATATCAAATTAAAGAGCTTCTGTATAGCAAAAGAGACATTACAAAAGACAGACATCCCACTGATTGGGAAAAAATTTTCTCACACAAAACTAGTGGTAAAGGATTGATCACAAAGATATACAAAGAACTGATGAAACTCAACAAAAATAAACAACCCCATCAGATAGTGGGCAGAAGAGCTGCCCATTGGAGACACTTCTCCAAAGACGAAATGCAGATGGCCAACAAGCATAAGCAAAAATGTTCAACATCACTCGTAATACGAGAGATGCAAATTAAAACCACAATGAGATACCACCTCACCCCAGTGAGAATGGCACATCTTTAAACAACTAATGTTGTAGAGGATGTGAGAAAAAGGAATTCCTGCACTGCTGGTGGGAATGCAAACGATTACAACCACTATAGAAAACTGTTTGAAGGTTCCTCAAACTGCTTAACATGGAGCTTCCCTATGACTCAGCAATCCCACTACTAGGTATCTACTGAAAAGACACAAAAACACTGATTCAAAAAGATGCCTGCATCCCCATGTTTAATGCTGCATTATTTACAATTGGAAAGACATGGAAACAACCCAAATGCCCAAAAGTGGATGACTGGATGAGGTACATATACACAATGGAATATTACCCAGCAACCAAAAAGAAATAAGTAAACACTTGCCTTTTGCAGCAACATGGATGGAGCTGGAAAAGATCATGCTTAGTGAAATAAGCCAGAAAGAAAAGGAAAAATAGTGAATGGTTTCACTCATAGCAGGAGTATAACAGACGAAGCGAGAAAATAATAATAATGAACAGCTACATACCAGAGACATTTTATGGGGTGGAGTGGGGAATGAGGTCAAAAACAGTGGGGGGAGGGAAATGTACTGGACTTCGGTGATAGCACATGGGTGATTTGGTGATGGGAAACCCCAAGGGAATTACAACTGAGATGGAAAAATGCACAAAATGATGGAAAAATAAACTGTTGAAAAGGGAAAGAAAACAAAAAAAAAGCTATTAATCTTATTGAGAACTCCTTTTATTGATTTTTAGATTCTCTTTTGAGTATGTTGTTTTTAAGTGTGGATCTATTTAAGTTTATTCTGCTTAGATTTTATGAGCTTCTTGGGTATTTAGATTGTTTATATCTGATCACATTTGGTGAGTCTTCTACCATTATTGTTTTAGGTATTTCAGCTCAACTCTCCTTTTAAGAGCCTCATTGTCTTTATGATGCTGACGGTGTCCCACAGGTCCCTGTTCATTTTCGTTCATTCTTTTTATTTTTCCTCTCCTCAGGGTACTCTTAATTGACCTATATTTAAACTCACTGCTTATTTAGTCTGTCTATTCATATCTTTTCTTGATTCCTTAGTTAATTTTTCATTTCAATTATTTTTTTCATCAGTTTTGTCTCTTTATATTTTCTCAGTGAGATATTGTTATGGTTTAGTTCATTAACATGATTTCCTTTAGTTCTTTAAAATAACTGGTTTATTGGGCCCTCCATGGTGGCACAGCACTAAAAAGCTGAAGCCACTTCAGCATGACTTTGATCCCCATCTGCCCCTGATGGATGATATCCATATAAGAGATTATATATGGCACAGCAGACCTCTCCTGACCTACCCGCTGCTCCCTCAGCAGTGTACTTTATCAGTCAACTCTATCTAGGGTGAAGCCTCTCACTGCCCCCACATCTCTGACCTGTGTCCTAGTTCTGTATGCATAAGTAAATAAATATTTAAAAAAAAAAAACTAGTTTATAGTTTATGGCTAGTAAACCCACTCTGGGCTTTTGAGGGAATGTTTCTGTTAACTTCTTTTTCCCCCTATAGATGGACTTTATTTTTTGTTTTCCACATAAACTTTCTCATGTTTTTTCCTAGTTGCTTTTATGAAGGAGATTTTCCAAGATCTATATTTTGCCATTCATGTTGATGTCACTTATGCATTAATTTTTATTCATAAAATGTTTTAAATATAAGTTCTTATATTTAAAAATTCTGACACCTTGCTTTCTACTTGACATGAAGCTATATATAATCTCTTATGTGGATATCATCCAAGTAACCAGATTTAGTTTCATTAACAAAATCTGACATATCAGCATTATAAATACTCTTTAAAATAAAGTAAATTCAAAGACCTCTCTCTCTTTAGATATCATGATTATCCCAAGAAGAGATAATGAACTTGTCATATCTTTTGATAAGTGAGTGCCAGGCATTGCATTCTACTCAGTAGTTTAGATGTAATAATTTCATTTAATACTTGCATAATCCCTCTGAAGTGCCAAGTCAAATAATTTTTCCAAAGTCACACTAGTTAAGTTGTAGATCTAAAATGTGAAATTAATCTGTTTTACACCAGAGTCCATAATTTCTGTAGCAATGTTTTGTTTCTGTGATGTGTGACTTGTAGTTCAGTCTCTTGAGAATCTTCTGGAGTGTTTTTAGAAATATCCCTAGGCCCTGAACCTGAAATGTGGATCTGAGAGTGGGTGATGATTCTCATATATAATTTGTGAACTGCTAGTCTCTGGTTTGTTTATTCTTAGACTTTATGCTGAAAAATAAATTAGTAGGCCATTTTTAATCCATGTGAAAATACTACAAAGATAATTGTTTCTTCACATTAAAAAAAATTTAAATACAGATTCTACATTATGATATATATTACCAGATAATCTAACAAAAAATCTGGTGTCACTTTCTGTGTTGGTTAGTATATTACAAAATATTGATAAATTATAGATTTTATAATGTGTCAGCCAATGTTTTACATATTCTGTATGCATCATTTTAACATTAACTGGCAATAATATGTAAAGAATGGATAACCCATACTTTTTTTGTAGGTTGAACTCCCACCACCTGATCTTGGGCCAAGTTCTGCATTAAATCAGACACTCACATTATTGCGTGAAGTTTTGGCATCTCATGATTCTTCAGTTGTACCATTAGATGCTCGTCAAGCTGATTTTGTGCAGGTATGTTGTAAATTCATTTTTAGTGATTATTTATTGCTTCTCTGTTACACATTCTGTTATAAATCTGACATTTACAGCCCATATGTTTTGATATACCCTCTTCTCTTACTGATTTTTCCTTCAAACATTAAACCAATTCACTTAAATGTAAAAAGTGCTTATTCAATAACGCTCATTTTAAAGAACTATTATGATTATTATGCCATTTATTCGTTCTGATGTGCTTCTCTAAGTTGACCTGCTTCCAGTTCGTGTGGCATTTACTCTGGAATACTATTAACTCAGGCCTATGTCACTGATTGGAAAATAAAGAGTAACTTCATTTTTCATTTGTAGGTATTATCATGTGTCTTAGACCCTCTCCTCCAGATGTGTACTGTATCAGCCAGCAATCTAGGCACAGCTGACATGGCCACATTCATGGTCAATTCATTGTATATGATGAAGACAACATTAGCTCTCTTTGAATTCACTGATAAACGTCTGGAAATGCTACAGTTTCAGGTAAATTTTGCCGTACTTTTTCTCTATTTGATAGATCTCAGTAGGTGACTGTAGCCTAATTTCAATGACCTAATTCCTAAAAATGAATTCCTTTCTATATTCTGATGGCAGGTATCTCTCTTTCTCTCAGTATATCAGTTTTGTGTTGAAGACAGAATATGTTCTAGGTAAGATATTTGATACAAACCATAGTATATGGTGGCAGAATGAAACTTTTCTGATCAATTTGAATGGTTATTTTGTATGCAAATTTCAGCTTCTGAACTGTGAATAATGTGCTATATTTTTCAAGCTGTGTAGCTAGTACAGAAGGTGTTACAGAGGACAGATATATTTTTATCTATGTGTAAACCAGTGTTAGGCAAAACATTACAATTTGGTATACCAGGCACTCTAGTCCAGTAAACCAAATGATATCACTTAAGAGTCTGTAAAATGACTAAAACAAAGCTATTTATAGAATTTATCAGATAGTTGACTTCTGGTTTGAGTTTTGATCCAAATCTTAAGTTTAGTTAGATCATGTTTCATCAGACTGTTCTACTGCCATTTGTCAAGTCCCACTGTGCTTCTTATGCCTGTGCTTGCTTTACATTCACGGACGTGCTGCTGGCAGTGCTGATTGCTTGGACCTGTCCGCGTCAGTGTGACAGCAGGCTGTACAGAGTGTGGAGACTGGCTTATGTGACCCCGCCCAAGTAACGCTTGCTTTTGCTGAATAAAAGAATCTTGATTTTTAGACATTTCCTGTCAAAGACTTCTTTTCTTCCACTCTGATTTAGCCTCAATCAGTGTTTCAAGTTGGAAGTGCCAACTAGCCTGGCTTTTTTTTGTTCACGGTAACCTATTCTGTATCTGGAAATTTATAAAGGGTTTTCATGGGGATATTTCTTCGGAATATTTTCTAGTATGCTTCTCTTGGCATTATCTCCCCTATGATCTTCTTTTAGAGCCATTTCAGTCTGAAGATTCAAACGTCGGCTTTGCTCAATCTCCATCTCTTAAATTTTATATTCTGAAGTACCTGTCCATAGTTAGCTTTATCTTCTGAATCTGTCTGCTTTTCAAAAAAATCTATCTCCACTTTATTTCTTTGATGTTTGCTAAATATTACCTTTCTTGCATTATCTTTCAGACCCAATTTGATTTACTAAATGTTTATAATTGCACATTCTGTTTTTCTTTGACTTTCAGTAGATCAAGTAAATCGTGGGCTTCTTGAGCATTCATTTAAAAAAAAATTAAAGTGCTACATGTCTTTGAATAGTATTACATCAGGGAAAGGTACTTATTCTGATTATTCAAACAGATTTCCCTAGGCCTCCCTAGTGGCCTAAGGGTGAAGTCACAGTGCTATCACTGCTGTAGCCTGAGCTTGATCCCTGGTGAGGGAGCTAACACACATATGATGTGGCAGACTGCTCCAGTGTCTCCAGCTTCCCTTAGCACTGTATTTCAGTAAATCCACCTGTTCTGCTCTTCATTCTATCTCTCATGAATCCTCTCACTCTCCACCCTCCCCTCTGCACCTCTGGCCTACACCCACAGTTATGCATAGTTGTGCTATGCATAAATAAATAGGTCTTTTTTGAAAACCTGGATTTTCTCTTAGACTCTACTCACCTATTTTGCATCAGTTGTAAGTTTTTTAGGAGAAGTGGGCCTCAGCTGTTGGGAGTTATTTGAAACAATAGCAAGCTTTCTGATGATAACAAATAGTAGGATACTATTCTCTTGGCAAGCTTGTTTGTGAAAAATGGAAGACCTCCAAACTTCCAGGGCTGTACTGGTAAAAGTAAGGGAGGAACAAACTTCATCCAAGTAAGGATGCTTCATCGCAGGAAAGTCCCCGTCCTCCCCCATTAGCTACTGCCCCCCAGTTAGCATTAGGTGGCTTCTCAAAGAGCATAAAGGTGATCACATATAATCCATAGCCAATAGCCAGTCTTCTTAGGCAGTTCTTGATTATCTTTGCTAACCTTCTGCTCTGTCCTCAACTGTCCCTTTTTTTGTCACAGACCTTCCTTCTCCTCTGCAGAACTCATTGCCTCAATTCTAGTGGGATTTTCTCTGGCATATTCAGATAACACATTGGGTTGAATAGTCCAGCAAGTTGGAAAAGTTAGGTGGTCAGGAGGTCAGGCATGCCTGACCCTCATCTTCCCAGAATTCTATTTCTAAGTTGATGTTTACTCCTTAGTGTTTTTGTTTGTGTTATACTTATTAAAAGAGCTGAGAAACTCAACTAGTGATAGTTCTGGAATCCTCCTCTGTTATCTTTTTTCCTTTTTCTTTAATACCTTTCCCTCCCTTTTGTAGGAGGAATTCTCTTTGAAGGAAGGCAAAGCCTTTGCTATAGAACAAGTCCTTTTACCTTGTTGTCTGGCCTCATGATCTCTACGAGGGACAAGTTCATGATGAATAGCTAAGAGAATTTTATTTCTACTGTAGTCTTATTTCTCTTTTAAAATATTTTCTTTCTATTATGTTTTATTTTAGATTGAAGCACATTTGGACACACTTATAAATGAACAAGCTTCTTATGTTTTAACTAGATCAGGCCTGAGTTACATCTATAACACTGTACAGCAACATAAGCCAGAACAGGTAAGAATGTGGTTGTTGGTAACCAGCAACTAGTCTAGAGCTAGACTCTGGATTTTAATATTGACTTTAATATTCAATATGAGTGCTTAACAGCACTTTATTGCAGCAGTCTTTCACGGAGGAAGTGACCTCTAACTATTTCCTCATCTGTGGACTGGAAAGAATAAAAATATCTGTATCATATGGTTTCTCAGAAGATTGAGATTACATTTGTATATGTATGATGAATGTGTGGTTCTCATATGGCTTAGATGGCTTCTTAAGATACAATTGAGTGCCTCAAATAGCAATACTTTTTTAAACTGCTACTTTAGCTAAAAGGAATGAAAATATTGCATTGCTGAAATATATTAATGAAAAATTATGTTATAGAATGTCTAAAGAATATTTATATTTGATAAATTTTTCAGGGTCCTATATATCATTATCAGTTAAGTGAATGGATAGATTATAGATTACTATATCAATAGCTTACATTTGTTTTAAACTCATGCAGAGATAGTGGAGTGGTGGGATCCTAGAAAACCACATAAACATCTTTCTTTAAAAGGCAAAGAATTCTTTTAAGTGATTTAAACATAAAGAATATTTTTGACACAGAAACTCTTAAATAAAACTCTCTAAAATCATAAGTTCTGGATTTTTTCTTTTGCTAAAGCAGTAAGCAGTTTTCTATGAAGAGAAACCAGTTCTGCTACCTTTTAATACTGTCTGCAATTATCAAAATGCAATTCTGAAAGCCTCCATGTCTTACTGTCATCTTCTAAGAGCTTCATTCCCTTTTCTTCTTGGCTTATGAATATACCTCAGGTGTCCTGAGATTTCCATTCTTACTACTCTCTCCAGTAATTGTTACTGAGTGCCTTTATATAAACTGACATTAAAGAGATGAAGCTTGAGTCCTTTGAAAATAAGCTAACTTTCCAAATTGGGTCTTGCATTAACAAACCGTGTTCCATAAATGAACTGAAATATGTATTCCTTTTTTTATAGGGTTCTTTAGCCAATTTGCCCAACCTAGATTCGGTAGCATTGAAAGCAGCAATGGTAAGTGCATCATAAAGCATTTCAATATAGGCTTCCTTTTGAAACACTTCTTAATTTTTTTCAGTGTGGTAATTTGTGCTAAGTGGTAATTTTTATTCCTCAGTATGCTGCATTCACATTGGGCCCAATAATGATAACAAAACAATTATTTTAACTTAAGGGGTCTGACCAAACTATAAATTTGTAGTAATATCCTACCATACCCTAATAGTCTCATAATTCCTATTGAGGTTTTCTTTATTTTTTGACTTTTCCTAATCTAATAGGAGAGAGATATAAGTTAGCTTATTGCTATTACAGGCTTCTTGTTTCATCATCCTTGGTTTATAGTTCTTGACTTCCTCCTGAGATGGTAACTGAAATTGGAGTCCAGTCTTAAAATAATACCTTTGAGTATGAAACTCACAGAACCTTCACTTTATCACCTTTTCTTAAAATGAACAATTTATATATCCTCTGTGCCTAAGTGCCACTTTTTGTGGCATGTTTCTGTTTTGTTTTTTTTTAATTCATTCATTTATTTTTATTGAAGTAACTTCATTTACAACACTGTATGAGATCCAGTGGTATTGGATCTCACCTGCTCAGATGAATGCTACCACACCACATACACCACCAAGCTACCCATAGTCCTCCACCATACGCCATCCATCCCCCTCCAAACTCTCCTCTCCACCCTACTCCTCCATTTCTTGTGTGTATACTGTGTGTCTATTGGGTTGTCGGAGAAAGTCATGGCACATTTTTTCTGTTTTCAAGCAAAAATGTGTCATGAATTTTCTGATAACTCAGTATGCATATTCACCAGTTGATTTGATGCTGAAGTCATTTAGCTCTTATGTCTTATGGGAATGAACTCCTTTAGCAGCTTTATAATAGTGACAGCACTGCTAGCAGCAGTAACAACAGGCATGAATAACAGCAATAGCCATCAACATTCATTGAGTTTGCCAAGCATTTTCCATTTATTAATTCTTTAAACTCTTAATAGTTTAAGTACCATTCAGCCTTTACTTACACTCTTAAATACTACTCTGTATCACCAATCTTAAGTATTTAAATATATATATACTTGGCCTCCACAGTGGTTTACTTTAATTACTAGTTCATTAAGATGACACTTTTTTATGCCAGGATTGACTTTCTTATCTGTCATCTTACAGTTAAATTTAATTGAAAATAAAGAAATATGCCCTCAGGATATCTAACAAATGCAAAGAAAAATAACAGAATTGACGGTAATGATTTTGGACAAGGTAGATTTTAAACACTAGATAGAGAAGTGTTGGTGATAATTTCCACATCTTAAACATAGCAGTAAAAATTAGTACTGCAAAGAAAATTTTACTCTAAAATTTAAAATAAAATGGGTAATTTTTAGAATTATGAAAAAAGTTATAAGTTTTGTGCCTTCCCTGGTGGCACAATGGGTTTGGACACAGCTCTGCAAGCTAGCTGCAACCGCTTCAGTGTAAGTTTGATCCTGGGCCCCGGAGGTGACCACATGGCGTGGCAGACCTCTCCTGACCCACCCACTGCTCCGCACAGCAGTGTACTTTGTCAGTCTTCCTGTTCTGCTCCCCATTCTGTCTCTGGTGAATCCTCTCATTGCCCCTGCATCTCTGGCCTGCACCCCAGGTCTGTATGCATAAATAAATACATCTTTTCAGAAACATTGTAAGTTTCTTAGAATGTTAAATATATGCTATCACTACCCAGTAATCCTACTTCAGGGTACTTATCCCCCCTAAAGTGAAGGCTTATGTGTACACAGATGTAAGTGACATTAGTTAGTACTCAACAAATACATGTTTTCTTTCTCTCCTTCTCTTTCCCTCCTGACATATACCCACTCCATAATATAACCCCCTAATATATATTTAAGCTCCATCATAATTGTCACGTGCCTGGCATTAAACTTTAAAAACAATTAAGATGAACATCTTAAACTGAACTCTTCTAACCTTGTCCCCCCACTGCCACCACCATCAAAGTCAGGTGTTATCTTAACTTCCAAGTGTCTTATTAACTCAAAGTGGTAATAGCATCTCTCCATTTACTGTTTCAGTTATTTTACACAGTATTCACTATTTTCTAGGCATCATTCTAAGAACTAGAATGAAAATAGATATGATCTAGTAAGAGTTGTAGCTATCATATAAATAAATGTATAAAGAATAAACTTAACTTTGTGAAATACATGTTAACATTTTATTAATACATATTTATAACTTGTGACAAAACTTGTGAATTAAATGATATAGATCTAAAATCTGAAACTACATCTCTTCACCTTATCACTAGCCCTATCAATGACTTGACTAATTCTCTCAAATATCTTCTCTTTGCATCTTTATTGCCCTTGTGGTCCCAGATGCTGCAGTAGCTCCTGCTTGTCTTTGCATCGACCATGACCTTGTATCCCATTCTTCTTCCTGTAGCTTGAGTTAGCTTCTTAAAACTCAAATCTGATTACTTCCCCATTTAATGGTTTCCTAATGCTTTCATAGTAAGAATTAATATCCTTTTTAAAAGCATACAAATCCTATAAAAATTGATCTCTACTTATCTTGCCATTTTCTCAGCTCAAGCCTTCATCTATGCTGTTCCAGACACTGAACTTCTATTACCTACATACCTAATGTTCATTCTTTAAGGTCTCACTTCAAGTGCCCTTTCCTCAGAGATGCTTTTGCTAAACACACAGACTAGGTTCATCCTCTTGACTTATACTTTTAAAATGTAGATTTTTTTTTCTTCATAGTATGTACATATTTTGTAATTATATTCTATACTGTTACTTGTTTACTACCTCTTACTAAGCCATAGCTCTATGAAGCCAGCAGATGGTCTTTTTGCTCACCATTGTGTTCTTATAATCTATCAATACTTGTCAAATATTAGGTGCTCAATAAATATTAATTTGATGAATGCATAATTAACAGATTGTGGATTTAAAAGTAAGTAGACTAGAAATCTGATGACTTGTTCACATTATTAGTGAGAAAGACTGGTAAGAGAGATTAAGATAAAGCTTACATTCAGGTTCAGAATTTTTTAAAGTGGGTATATTGCTAATATTGACTATATTTCAAAGTTGGCAGCTTTCTAGAGCTTTAGGTGAGATATATAAGAAATAACTCATTTTGAATACAAAGAACACATTATTTGAAATATGAAATTATACTTAACCTTTAAAAGTGATGATTGTATGTAAGATGTATGTAGATATCTGTGCGTTATGTTTTATATTTCTCTGTTCAATTAGGTTCAGTTTGATCGTTATTTATCAGCCCCAGACAACCTGTTAATGCCACAGCTGAACTTTCTTCTAAGTGCTACAGTGAAGTAAGTTGTAAATTTTTTTTTTTTTTGGTCTTAATTAGTTGGTGAAAAGATTCATATATTTCTAAATACCAAGCACATTTTTTAGAAAATGTTATTTTCAAGAATAGAAAATTTACTAGCTCTTTCAAGTTCCCAGCTTCTGGCTTTCTTAATTTAAGAAAAATATTGACAAATTAAAATTGTCTACAGTAGGAAGTTAAAAAGAACAGTAATTTTTTTTCTTCCTGTTCACCTAATTGTGTATTAAGAACTTTCCTTGTAGTAGGCATTAAGCATTAAGTTTTAAAGACATTTGCACTATCTCCGTGGGCATTGAAATCTGATGGATCATTTAGAAATACAAACTTTTATAAAAGTACATTGAGGAAAGAACTGTTGAACTTAAAAGATAATATTTTAAATATCTGAAAAGATACAGTGGTACAGAAGTGATTAACTTATTTTCTAATCTTGAGGATAGTCCCATAGCAATAAATATGATAAGGAAGTCAGCTTTTGATTAAACGTGTAAGATTTTTCTGTCAGTTAGAATTGACTGGAAATGGGACAGATTGCTCTTAGACATTAGAGTTATATTCTAGAGCTGTCATACTATCTGTTGTAGATGTCCAGAATTCAGAAGACCTGAGAGGTAGTAATAGAAGCTTATATTATACCATTGTATGAAAAAGCATGATCTGCTTTAAATAGAAAGATACAAACAACTTTTTAAGTAAAAGAATGGTAAATATATAACATGCAAATATTACTAATAATACTGAAATAGTTGTATTAATCTTAAGGACAAAATTAGACTGCAGGTTGGATAATACCAAAGATAAAGCAGGACATTTCACAGTAATGACTGAATCAATTTATAAAGAAGATATAATAGTAAATGCACATCTAATAGCAGACCTTCAAAAATTACTAAGTAAAGCAATAAAACTGAAATAGAATAAATACATTGACAATGACAATTAGCTGTTTCAACACTCTTCTCTCAATTATTGGTAGAAAATTCATATGATATAAATGACCTAAATAATGCCATGAGTCAGCTTAATCTAATATAGAATATTTCACACAAAACATCACATTCACACATTACATAAAGCATTGTTTTCTAGTTAATAAAACACTCATCAAACTATGTAAGAATGAAGCAAAGTAGAAATAAAGCATAATTCATTCATGAATATTTCCATCCATGAACATGGTATATCTATTTTTCAGCTCATTGAATTGTCAACAAAATTTTATCATTACTTCATATAATCCCCATGGATATTATTGATTTTATCCATCAGAAACAATTTTATATTTCCCAAGTACTATTTCAGATATTATTGGTCTATAGGAAAAGTACTAAATTTTGCATGTTTGTTTTTAATTTGGCCAAGTAACTATTTTAGTTCTATGTATGAATTGCTTGCCATGTGTTTTTGTTTTTAATATTAACATCTCAAATTAATGAGAGTTATTATTTTCCATGTTTATGACATTTACATTGGCCAAGAGCCCCAAAGTAACTAGTAGATGTAATTGAGAACGTGTTTCACTTATTGTAAACTTTAGTAAAATTATATCTAATGTTTTATCATTAAGTGTGACTTAACAGATTTTTGGTACTTCAATGTGGTTCCATGACATTCTATTTGGTTATGTAGTGTACTAATCTGTAAATCAACATAACTACAATCAAAATTCCCATGAAACCTGTTTTGTTAAATAGCTATGTAGAAAAAAGTATATTATAGAAGGCTCTGGTCATTTTTCATATTTCCACAATTAACACTCTAGTCTAAATTACTATCATCTGTACCTGGATTAGCTCATAAATCTCTAAACCACTCCCTGGGTTCACTCTTGACCTCTAACCCTAACTTTTTCTCTTTTTTATTTAAAAGGTTTATTTAGTTGTGCATATAGAACTGTAGTACAGGATAGAGGTGCAGGGGCAGTGAGAGTATTCACCAGAGACAGAATGGGGAGAAAAACAGGCAAATCAACAAAGTACACTGCTGAGGGGAGCAGCAGGCAGGTCAGGAGAGATTTGCCATACCATGTGGGTTACTCCTCCCCTGCCAGGGATTGAACTCTTGCTGAAGCAGCTGTGGCTAGCTTCTTCATAGTGCTGTGCTTTAACCAGTTGTACTACCAGAGAGGTCCCATTGCCCCAACTTTTATAATCTAATTTGAACACCTTAACCAGAGTGATCCTAAATGGGTTACTTAATCTTTTCAATGAGTCTGTAATTAGGATCTCCATTTTGCAAAAGATGGCATCCTTTAGAAAGGTTAAATAATTAACCCAAGGTTGACAATTAGTAAGAAGCAAAACCAAGATTTAAATCCTGTATTTAGAATTCCACATTCTATTCTCTTAACACTAGCCCGTAACTACATTCCAATTAACCCTCCTTATATTGAATTTGTATTCAGTTATTCTTAAAGAATAACTAAAAGAATTGTATTTAGTTATTCTTAAAGTTCAAAATGTTTGGCATGTGTTAGATTACATATGTGAGATATATTCCTTGGTTTCATAAGACATCTGCCTTGGTCTCATGTAAAAATTTTACTGAGAGTGACCAAAAAAGCTGACCTTGCATCAAACATGATTAACCCATTGTGACATTCTTGATGTTTATATTGTGATAAAGAAATATCAAAATGGACTTTCATTAACCAATCTAGTGTTCATAAATATTTATTTTTTATTTTCCCAAGCTTAGGCTTTTAATGTCTACTTTCCTCCTATGGTACATTTGATTGCACTATAAACTATGGTGCTGTAATAAAGCTCAATTTTAGTGATCATAGAACTTTAATGCTAAAATAAACTATTTTTAGAAATGTCAGGTTTATGGTAATGATAAGAGTTGTATCATGCTGCTATGGCAACCGAAACCTTAAAAGTACTGATTAATTACAAGCTGACTGATTCTGGAGGTTAGCAATGCTTCTCAGTGCTTTAAAAATTTAGTTAAAATACACTTAATTTAATTTTAAGATGAGAATATGTCTGTAGTAATAATGTTACTCTTTATTAGTATTTTTCAAATTCATAATACTAGATATTACGGCATTGTGACTTTTATAACTGAATAATGTAAATTTCTCAATGTATTCTGATGTGTAAATAACTGAACATATTGCCCTTTTTATATAATTTTACAAGTTCACCTTTTCCTCCTTCAATTTTTTTCTTTTTTACTTGAGTAAATTAACTACATAGGGCCCCCCACTCGCCTGCCCCGGAGGTGACCACATGGCACGGCAGACCTCTCCTGACCCGCCCGCTGCTCCCCTCAGCAGTGTACTTTGTAGATCTGCCTGTTCTGCTCCCCACTCTGTCTCTGGTGAAGCCTCTCACCACCCCTGGACCTCTGACCTATACCCCAGTTCTGTATGCATAAATAAATAAATTTTAAAAAATAAATTACATAATCATTATTTTTTGATTTATGATAACTAGGATAGAAAACTTTTTTCTAAGTGGAAGAACGATTTTCCAAAACTGAAAATGAGACAAATAAGGCCTGGAGAAGAATTAAATATGTTCTCTCAGTGTCATATGCTTCAGTAAAGCACGTTAACAGGCCCATCAAGAATTATCTAATTACTTAGGTGTATGTACCACTTGGATTCTCTGTTTACTATTGATTTAAAGTCCCATTGTTTTTCAGCTACTATGGTTTTTCTTGCATAGAGACATCAACCCATTTTGCGTGTAGTTTATTTTAGTCAAACCTTCATTTACAAGTGCCTATTTGTTGCATTAGGCAACACCAAACTGACCAAAGAAATGGGAGTCATGGAGGAGGCTACATAATGCAGGATGCTGCCGAATAGCAAGATCCTGGCCTTTTTATTAGTAGACTAATCAGCATTAATCATGTGAGGAAGTGAAAAAGAAAGGGAGAATTAGAAGAAGCTGGGCAAAAGGTGGAACTGTGCATCTGCTGATAGTTTGGTATGTAGAACAGCCCTGACTCTTCCAGTCAGGATTTCAATCTTCTCAATAAGGCATTCCACTGATCAGCTTCTGGGGTCCTTCGTTATACATCAGTCAGCAGCCCCCCTGGCCGTTCCCAGTCATACCTCGTGGTGTATAAGTCAGGAGTAAGATTATGCATCCGTCCTTAGCTCTCCTGGTGTTCCTGGCCATACCTCGTGATGCAGACCCTTCCCAGGGTGATCTAGCTTTATGCTCTTAATTGATATGAAAGGTGCCTTATAGGATTGGGCTCTTAGAATGGAGGCTGGATAAGCCACCTAGGATTAGCAGACCCACACCTATTAGTGACCATTTCCTTAAAATATCCTGTGAATCAGCTTTATTATTTTAGTAGTTTCCTAATTAAATAGATATTAAATCATTAAAACTCTTCACTTATATTCATGTTTTAATTTTTTTGGAATTTATACTAACATTGGGAAAATTATTGAATTGTCAAAGGCCAATATGATACCACCTAATCAGTTACTACCTATAAAAATATCTTGGTAGGAGCCCTCCCTGGTGACACAGTGGGTTAAATAAAGCACAGCACTAAGAAGCTAAAGCCACTTCAGCATGAGTTAGATCCCCACCCCAGAGGTGATCCACATGGCGCAGCAGACCTCTCCTGACTTGCTCCCCTCAGAAGTGTACTTCGTCAGTCAGCCTATTCTACTCCCCACTCTCTCTGGTGAATCTTCTCACCATCCCTGCACCTCTGGCCTGTACCCCAGTTCTTGTATGCATAATATTTTTTTAAAAATATACAAGTTTAAGTATTATAAAACTCAGAAAAAGTCATTTCAATGTTCTAATACTTGTGTAGAAATAATGAAAAGTAAAAATAATCAGGGATGAAGGGAAGTAAATGCCATGAAAACAGGAGAATTGATGCAGACTTTTAAACCCACAGCTATTTTTTTCTTGCCAAATATATTTCTTTTTAAATTGCTTCAGTTATTTTCAGACTATTTCTATCCTTTTACATGCTTACGTAGAAATGCATATTTGTGTAAACATAAGTAACTGTCATGTTATTTAGGCCTAGTAATATAGAGAGAAGAAAAATCTAAGAGATGTGGTTCTTAGTGTCAGGAATATAGACAAAATTATATTTGTAAATTATTTTGAGATTTGCAGTGTCTTTGTTATTAGTTGTGTTTACAAATTAAAGTGGGCTACTATATATCAGGCACTACAGACCAGAGACTATAGTTGTGAAAGAACATAATGCCTAACCTCTGAAACCCTTGTACTAACGTAGAATTTAATAATTGACACAAATTCTTTATCTCAAAATTAGCACAAATAACTTAAATATTTGTACAGTGATGTTTTAAAAAAATATCTGATAGTAGCAATATGAAAATGAAATAAATTGGCTTTAAAATGAACTTTCTTACAATTTTTGGTCAGTATTCTTTTTTCAATTTTTGGATCCACATTTTGTTTTTCAATAGAGAACAGATCATAAAACAGTCAACAGAATTAGTCTGCAGAGCCTATGGTGAAGTGTATGCAGCTGTGATGAATCCAGTCAATGAGTACAAAGATCCAGAGAGCATTCTACACCGATCACCACAACAAGTGCAGACTCTCCTCTCCTGATCATCTCCTTTGAATGTGTTTGCAAAATATTGCACCTCTACAGGTTTTCTTATTTTTTAGTTTATTATCTTTATTTTGAAATTTGATGGTTGCTTTTCATTGTATCATAAGATAGTAGGATCAATAATTTTTTACTTTGATCAAAATAATGTGGAAGTAAGTTAACATGTTGATCTGAGTTACTCTTGTTTTATACCTATTCTCTCTAAAAGGTATTCTTTTCTCTGTTAGCTACTTCTGGAGCTCTGTAGTCCCTGCTGTATTCTGGAATATAAATGTATGGAAGAATATAGTATATAAGTTTGAGGAATATTTTTATAAGACTAGTTCTAATATAACTGTACATAAAAAATTTGCCCAAACTTATGAATTAATATGAAGATAAAACCTAATAAATATCTCTTTACCTGATGATTCATTTACTTTCTTATTGTTAATAGGAGTGAACATACTTAAATGAAAGAACAGATATATAGACTTATTTAAAAGGGAAAAAAAGAATCTGAAAAGTGAGATTTTACTCTTTAAGATGGAGTTCAGTACTTCGGATAGGTCTTAGGAATATAAGAATCCTGTGCTTCATGAAGGCTGGAATGTAAAAGTAGATATTTGTTATGCTGTGTGGGCTCTAAATCCAACCAACTGCAAGTTCTGTGCAGTGTTCAAACCAAAGAATGTTCAAACATGAAGAAAATATATCAGTGTAGCAGTTGCTAATTGACAGTACGGCTATTCCATGAAGAACCCTTTAAAAAGAATGATTTGAGCTCTGATTTTGGAATTTTACTTCTAAGATTTACTTCTAAGAGCAACCACTGTTGCTCTTATTTTTACAAAATAAATCTCAATGTGTTTGATGTGACTTTACTTTCATAGCAAAATTATTGCTAAAATGCCAGAGTTTCTGGTAAATATATTAAAAGGAATTAAGTTCCTAACTAAATTATAAATAAGAAAACTGGGGCATAATGAAAAAACTAGCCTAAAATATTTTGAAAAGTAGTAAGATAAAGTTAATATTTATAGTAGATTATTATATAACAAATTTGTATTTATAGAACATGTTTATTGATCTGTGTGAAATTTATATACCAATATGACTCTGTCATATCTGTCATATTGGTGCAATAGTGATTACATATTACCTGTTTTGGTATAAACTTTCAGTGAAGGTTTTTCCTCCAGTGAATTTGTATGATATAAAAAGTAGAAAATAAAGTATGATAAAAATAAAGAACTTTATATGATTTATTTTTATTGTGAAAAAAAGATTGCTACCTTATCATTAGTGAATTGTTTTGTGATCTAGGAAAAAAGGCTGCTTGACTTTTAGTCTTTTTAAATTATTAAACTAGTTCTAGAGCAATGATGACTGCAGTATTTTAAATTCTTGATTTAGTTTTTAGAAAACGTACTCATAAAAAGGAGGCACTATATAGGACCAAATAAGATAGTAATGGAAGATTGATCAGAATGTAGTGTTAATATGACCTTAAGCATTAAGCAAAATAAAGACTGTAAGCCTTAATACCTTGACATGACATGTACTTGCTATATACTCATAGTTTGCTTTTTGAATTGTTTTGTTAGGGCTTAATGATATCTTCACATAATGAGCGTTTGTCCTTTAGAGGGAGAAGGGCTTTGCCTGACAAACCCTTCTCTGAACTTTTCCATATCTTTCCCTGTGCCTGTACAGGATAGGGCTATTCTTATGTGTGTGTTATGGTATCTCAGTTGCATTTTTCTGACAATAAATGTTTCCATGTGCCTGTGGGCTGTGTGTATCCTTTTTGGAGAAGTGTGTGTTTAGCACTCTGTCCATTTGTTGATTCAATTATTTCTTTTCTTTTTGTTGATTTGTGTAACCTTTTTAGATCTTAGCGATTTTAGCCCCTTGACAAATGTATGATTATGACATATTTTCTCCCATTTTATACAATGTCTTTTCATTTTAATAGTTTTCTTTCAGTGTATAAAAACACCTCCCACCCCCAAGCATTCCTTATATTCCCTTGTCTCTTTCCCCCTGCTCCCCTTCTCTCTTAACCTTAAAGTCCTTGTGATGTTGGATGTCCACGGTTTTTAAAACTGGTGTAGTTGGATTGTCTGCTATGTGAATGTCTGGTATGTGTTTTTTTGTTCTTGTTTTTATTTTTTATCACTTTGACTTGCTTTTCTATATATAATTCTCTCAAATTTCCTCTATTTTATTGAAAATGGCTGCATTTTCATCCTTTCTTAGAACTCCATACTGTGACTGTATTAAACCTTGATCCAATTATCTGTCAATGGAAGTTTAATCTGTTTCAAAGAGCTAGCTGTTGTAAATCATGCTTCTTTGAACATTATGGAACATGGGGATTTTTGTATGATGGTTTCATATTCTTTAGATACATGCAGAAGAGTGGGATTGTTAGATTATCTCCTATCTTCATTTTTAGTTCTTCAAGGTAAATCAGATTGTTTTCCATAATGGCTGCACAGTTTACATTCCCATCAGTAGCAATAGAGTTCCTTCCTCTCTGCATTCTTTCCAAAACTTATTGTTAGTCTTTTTAATGTGTCTTCTCACAAGCATGAGATTGTAGTTCATTGTGGTTTTAACCTGCATATCATGAAATATATTTGTCAACATTTTCTTTTTATGTGTTTGGGTTTAGTGAGTAATCCACTTATTTATGTGTGATTTTTCCAGCACCACTTATTAAACAGACTGTCTTTTCCCCATTATATAGTCCTGCTAGCCTTTATCATGCTGGAATGCACATAATTTAATTCTGGACTTTCAATTCTATTCCTGTGACCCATGTATCTGTGCCAGTACCATGTTGTTTTTAGTACTTTTGCTTTATAGTAGTTTCAGGTCAGATAATAGGACAATATGATACCTCTTTCTCCTTTTTCGCAGGGTTCTTTTTCTTTTTTTTTTTAAAGATTTATTTGCATACAGAGCTGGGGTACAGGCCAGAGGTGCA